TCTAGTTTTAGTTTTAAAGCGTTGGGGAATACGGAGGATAAAGAGTGCATAACAGTCAACAAGCCTCTTGCAGGACCCATTTATAATAATAGAAGAAGAGTAGATGAGAATTTGAATGTATTTGAATAACGTGTCAATAACAAGATTACCATTAGAATGCGAGAGGTCTTATATAATAAATGCAATACGAAATAATTTGCTAGTATGTTTTCCAACTGAAACATTATATGCGCTTGCCTGCAACGCATTAAGCGTTGAAAAAATACAAAAAATATACCAGATAAAAAAACGCCCTCAAAATAAGCCCTTATCTATATTTGTTAGTGATGTCAATGTATTAAAAAAAGTAGCAATAGTTAAAGAAAAATACGTTGATTTGGTGAACTACTTTTCTCCCGGACCAGTTACTTATGTTTTACCACTTAGAAATAGTAACTTGTTGCCAAGTGAGTTTTTTAAGACAAGTATAGGTGTAAGAATTCCTAATCATCCGATTGCAGTTTCGATATTAAATAAGCTAGAAATGCCTATAATTGCAACAAGTATAAATATCTCGGGAGAAAGAAGTGTATATAGAGCGAATGATATGCCACAATCTATCAAGCAACATTTATCTTGCCTCATTAAAGATGATAAACTAGTTTCGGGTATAGAATCAACTATTGTCGACCTAACCACAGATGAGATTAAGGTGCTAAGAAAAGGTTCACATTCTGTAAATAATGCTATTCAAAACCGCGTATGGAAAAGTTAATAGGGCATAATCAAGCAAGAGAGAAGTTGATGAATAACTTATCTATTCAATCTTGGATAGTTTGTGGCAAAAGAGGTATAGGAAAAGCAACGCTTGTAAAATCCTTTGCTCATTGGCTACTCACAAAGAACTGCGATTTAGCAACACTAGACTTACATATAGTTGAAGGTGATATATTAGGAATAGATAAAATTAGAGAAATGAAAAATTTTCTGCATTTAAGCTCTATCCAATCAAAATACAAGATAGTCATAATAGATAGTTTAGAAGCAATGACTGATAATGCTAAAAATGCGGTGCTAAAAACATTAGAAGAGCCGCCAAAAAATTCCAAAATATTTATAATTAACCATAAACCACACAATATACAAACTACCATCAAGTGTAGGTGTTTTCTGTTAAATTTATTACCTCTGACCTATGATAAAACAAAGCAAGTTGTTTGCTCTCAATATAAATTTGATGATAAGATTTTCGATGAAATGGTTGCTATATTTCCTGGAGCACCTGGAATGATAATCAATGCGATAAATAGCAACATATATGAATTATATAGACAATTTTATACACTTTTACATAGTTTTAACAATCCTGAAATAATCGATAAAATAATTAACAGTAGTGTTGACCTGGAGATCGCATCTTATATTATAAGAACTCTTCTTCTTAAGAATATCAAGGAGAATATAGATAGTATTGAAGTTTTACTTAGCAAGTGGAAAAAGGTGGATGAGCTTCTTATTGCTGCAGGGCAACTTCACTTGGATAAAAAACATGTACTAGCTAATATAATAAAGATTGTAATATTAGCCCCCCCTTTTTTTGTAAAGGGCGTAAAGTTGTCCGATAAATAGGTAAATTCCCAATTCAAAAGTTGTTAAAACATGTTTTTGCAAGTCTTCACCTTGTGGTTTTAGCATTTTTAACTTCCTTAGATTCCTTACGAAACAACGTGAGGTGAGTTGCTGATAAAATCCCCGATGATAAAGGAGTTTAAAAAACATAGAACGTACATAACACATCGATTTTGGGGATTTTATTCACTTGTACAGCTCGAATATTTGCCTATTACTCAAAAAATAGAGCCATTGTTGACTAACCATAAAAGGATAAACCTTAACGCCAGAAGAATCTGAAGACTTTAGCGACGTCAAGGGGTAATCTATGCAGCGACTAAAGATAGCAAAAAACACAAGTTATTCAAGAAAGAAAAATGACCACAATGAAAACTGAAATTACAATCGAAGAAAGCGAATAAATCTTGTTGGTTTCAAAGTGATATAAAGGCCAAGTACATGATTTTCGGACAAGAGAATAGGAAAATTACTACCTAAAGATAGCAGAAATATGCTGATTTCAAATACCATGGTTGGCAAAAATTACAGAAAATGTTGTGATTCCGTGCAAAAAATACCGTAAAACCGCTAACGGCAGAGCGAAAAGAGCGCAATCGGGAGTTTATATCATTCAGGATGCAAGTAAAAACAAGATACGCGAGATCAAAAATTATATCAGATGTTTACCATAATTTTCAGCAACATGAGGTTTAATATTATTGCTGGCACTATGAATATGATGCATGGCTTTAATAGTTTTTGAGTTATTACAAGATTTTATCTGGCTGGAGAACGTTCAAAACTCTACATAATTTATGTATTTTTATAGAAATTACTATGCTATTTTATAAAGATATTTTACTCTTTGTACTTAGTAAAGTATCCCAAGGCATTTTTTTTAAATATCCGCTTCCCCATTACCCTTCCTAACTTTTTTTTAATTAAATATTTCTTTGCAACAAGGAGCTGCCCTTCCCTTACATGGAAATGCATCTGCTATTAACATTTTTCATCATATTTACCCATTTATTTAATGGACTATCATCTATACTTAACCCTCTTTCTATTTTTAAATTTGTTAACCCGTTTATTTGACTAGCTTTATAGCTTCTAATTTAAATTTAGTCACATATTCTCTTCCGCTTGTTATATTTTGCCTCTTTGAAAAACTTTTTATTTTACTCTAAAAACGTCTCAACTTCCTGTCTACTTTTTTGGAGGTAAAGTCATTTCGGCACTGTGCATCTAATTCTATTACGGAGATTTATCATTTAGTTTAGAAAATACTATATACTAATCTAACTTGTTAATTTATTATCCATTATATAGTTAAAAGTTATTTCAGGAGATTACCATGACTTGCAACTTCTTCTTACAATCACATGTATATACATCTTATTTTCCAGCTATGCAACGAACGCACACTTTATTTCAAAAGAAATATAACCCCC